AAACGAGCCGTCAAGGAGTTGGGACGAGAGGACACGAGGGTACACGGCCGCACGCGCGGCGATGGATTGTGGTTCGTAGATGAACAACAACAACCGCCGTCCGGTGGCGGCGCCGCTCTCCACCACCGTCTTGNGAACTGCCGCCGCCCGCTTCTCCGCCGATCTTCACGGGATCCTCAGCCCCGTCGCCGACCTCCGACGCCCCATCATCAGCCCCACCGTCGACCGCAGCCACGCCGCCCCGTTCGCCCCCGGGCCTGCCGCCGCCGCCGCCGCNACAACAACAACCGCCGTCCGGTGGCGGCGCCGCTCTCCACCACCGTCTTGGTCTTTTAGCGATGATGGACAAGGACTCCCTCATCTCGTCGCTCGCCACCCGGGAGGCCGTGGATCAAGGAGGCCGCGATCTACCGCCCCCGCCGCAGCCGGATCCGAGTATTGGAGGCCTTGGAAGCGGGGGGGCTGTGGGAGCTGGGGGGCCCGTGCATTCCGGGGGGGAGGGGAGACCGCAGATGTTTGCAACGATGTTCGCCACCCGCGAGGATGTGGACGCCGCTCTTCGCGCCGAGCGCCCGCCCGACAAGATGCCAGACCTTCCTCACTGCCTCGCCAGCGACCTCCGCGTGCCGAAAACGTTCAAGGAGGCCATGCGGTCGCAACATTCAGAATTGTGGAATGATACAGTTGATCGAGAGTCTTTCGGTTCGTTGGATGCAGGAACTTTTAGTCCGGTGTAGCAACCAGTAGAGAACGCCATCAATGCTGAGTGGGTCTTTAACTGTAAGGCAGACGAGTACGGATGGCCGACGAAATTTAAGGCAAGACTTGTAGCACGGGGGGACTTGCAGAGGGCTTTAATTGATTTTGGAGAATTGTTTGCACCCACCGTTTCAGTGTCTAGTGTGCGCTTGTTAGCAGCATTAGCCTGTGAGCAGAATCTTGACTTGTGCCATTTCGATATTCAGCAGGCTTTTGTGCAGTCTGAGCTTGGTGAAGATGTTTTCATGCGCTTACCGCAGGGGTGTGGTAGGCTATCTGGCCTGATCGTGAAGCTGTGCAAGAGTCTGTATGGTTTGAAGCAGGCGTCACGACATTGGCATGCGCACCTGACGAGGTGTTTGTTACTTTTAGGTTTTTTGCAGTGTCTGGCAGATGCACGTGTTTTTCGATTAATGGAGGAGGGACGTGTGATCATGATCATCGTGGTCCACGTGGATGACATTATTGCCGTACTGCAGAAGGAGAGGTGTGACAAGTTTGGCAGGGATCTCAACGCGATGATCCCCGTGAAGAACCTTGGAGAGTTGAGGTGGTATTCCGCGTGCTTTTACCAGAGAGACGTAGAGAGAGGGCTGTTGAGGATTTGGCAGCAGAGGTTTGCCGAAGAGTTGGCTGCAGAGTACGGCATTGAGTGGGGGAGGAGCGTGCCCTTGCCTGTGAGCGTGAAGCTCACCGACTTTGACGAGAACGAAGCGTGCGCTGATGTCCCTTTTCGCGAGTTGGTAGGATCTCTGATGTGGTTGGCCACTCAAACAAGGCCGGACATCGCGAACGCAGTACGAGCAGTAGCGCGGTATTGTGCATCTCCCAAGATGGTGCACTGGAAGGCAGCACTCGGTATTTTAGGGTACGTACGGAGGACGAGTTGGATGGGGATTACATTTGAGAGGGGAGTGGTGACTGGGATGAGCATGCAGGTGTTTGTGGATGCCGACTATGCAAGCAAGGCGACAGACCGTAGATCGGTGTCAGGAGGGCTAGTGATGTGTGGGGGAGGGTGTGTGACTTGGTTTTCGAGGACACAAAAGTGTGTCACGCTTTCCACCACGGAAGCAGAGTATGTGGCAATTGCCGATGTCTTGAAGGAAGTGTTGTTCCTGAGGCAGGTGTGGCGTTTTATGTCGCCAGATGCAGGTATGCCGTGCATCCCGGTGTTCGAGGATAATCAGGGAGCGATTCAGATTGCGCACAACCCGATCACGAACTCCAACTCGAAACACATCGATGTACGACATCACTTTATCAGGGAGCTGGTAGAGAGGAAGGAGATTTCAATTACTCATGTGCCGACGCAATTTCAGCATGCAGATTTCTTGACGAAGGCCATTAGCAANATATTCGCGAGTTGGTAGGATCTCTGATGTGGTTGGTCACTCAAACAAGGCCGGACATCGCGAACGCAGTACGAGCAGTAGCGCGGTATTGTGCATCTCCCAAGATGGTGCACTGGAAGGCAGCACTCGGTATTTTAGGGTACGTACGGAGGACGAGTTGGATGGGGATTACATTTGAGAGGGGAGTGGTGACTGGGATGAGCATGCAGGTGTTTTCGGATGCCGACTATGCAAGCAAGGCGACAGACCGTAGATCAGTGCCAGGAGGGCTAATGATGTGTGGGGGCGAGTGTGTGACTTGGTTTTCGAGGATGCAAAGGTGCGTTACGCTTTCCACCACGGAAGCAGAGTATGTGGCAATTGCCGATGTGTTGAAGGAAGTGTTGTTCCTGAGGCAGGTGTGGCGTTTTATGTTGCCAGATGCAGGTATGCCGTGCATCCCGGTGTTCGAGGATAATCAGGGAGCGATTCAGATTGCGCACAACCCGATCACGAACTCCAACTCGAAACACATCGATGTACGACATCACTTTATCAGGGAGCTGGTAGAGAGGAAGGAGATTTCAATTACTCATGTGCCGACGCAATTTCAGCATGCAGATTTCTTGACGAAGGCCATTAGCAAGGAGTCTTTTGCGTTGCACCGTGACTTTGTGATGAACTTGCAGTGAAGGAAGCGCTTTGGGGTCGATTCGTATTCTGTAAGGGAAGAGAGAAAGAGATAAACGAGATTGGAAAAGAGAAAGAGAGTCTGGTAAAGGTGGTAAGAGTGTTGGAGTTGTGGTGGGATTTTTCTTGTGATTGTCTTGGAGGACTTTTTCTTGTTTTGGAGATGATGGTAAAGAAGAGGTAGAATTGTTTTTTCCGAAGCATGACGATGCACACGAGCAGGGGGGCTATTCGATATATTGGGGGTACTCGTAGCATAGTATGACGGTTGAGATGTTCGGTACGTACGTACGAAAGT